TGCCTCCTGGATAGAGGCATGCTGGCGGAGTGGGGTACCAGACCCTCGGTGTTGGCGCTAAAGAGCTTTGAAACACTTGCTGGAGCGGGGCAGGGGGTAGAGGCTAGAATGCAAGGGGCCACAGGGCCAAAGAAATGCTTGCCTGCAGGCACAGCTAAGAAGAGGTTTTCAGAATTGAAGAACTGTATCCCTGTCATTTCTAAGCCTGAATTGTATCCTGTTACTTCTCCATGCAACCCTTTAACTATGAGTATTGCCTATGAGTTCTGTATGGCCATTTCAACATACTCGAGAACCCAACAGCGAAGTCAAGAAGGCCGTGGGAGGGGATGGCTGTTATCAGAATCCTTAAGAAGGGTGGAGGGTGGAGGCAAGTCTAACCTCCACCTTTTGGGACTCCGCCATGGGCTGTTGATCTTGTGGACAGCAGGTCAGACCCTGGCCAGCACAAGTTTTACGAAACATAAAAACGCACTCTGCTTTTAGTCCAAAACAAGTTTGAGTGACCAGCTTTTTTAGTGTGGGTTTCTCTTTTGTTATTCTGTGTCTGCACTCTCGGGGACAGGCATTCTGGTGCCCGGCACTGGCCAGCTGCTTTTCCTCTGGTTGGAGCCTCCTTCACAAGGCGAACTTGGCCTTGGTGAGCACGCAGCTGTGGGTAGTCCTTCTTCAGGGAGCTTGGATCTGCTTCACAGGAGGAGAAGCCCCCGCCCCCTCACTCACTCACCCCAATAGCCATGCCAAAGACAAGCACCACTCACCACTGCTCAAGCCCTTCTGGTAAAAAAAAATTCCGTTACAAGCGGGAAATACAGTTGGGAAATTTATCTGACCCACCAATGGTCACAAGTCATGTCTGTGGGCACAGTGCAACTTTCTGAAATCCAGTCCAAGTTGGAGAGTCTTCTGCAGGACGGACTCAGGACGCAAAGCCCTTCACACCATGATCTCAGCCAACTCTCCACCTTCTAAGATATCAGCAGTACCCTGGACTCTTAGCAGGTCACTCAGCCACCTCCCAGCCATAAATGTCGGGCATCCCTCTTGCATAAACTAGTCTTTTCTCAACAACAGCCAGGCAGCCAGTCCTGTGTGTCCACAGGAAAATCACTTATCATCCTTTACAACTCAGTCCAAGGCCCACTTCTTTGTGAAAGCCTTCCTACAGGTTATCATTTCACCTCTTTCCTATCTCCAGGCACATATATGCATGTATTTCTGATAGTGCCTTTATGACAGAGACTTGTTGTTTTTTAAATAAGTAATTATTTCATGGGTGACCATGAGCTGCTTGAGGAAAAGGGTGTCTCCTTTTCATGCCTGCACCCCAGAACCTCAGACAGTTCCTGCAGTTTCCTGAATTCAACTGTGGGAGAAGACCTTGAGATTGGTCAGACAACTAGAAGCTTAAAATAACAAAATCAAGTAGGGAAAAGGCCAGAGTCAACTCGACCCTCTGGTGAGGACAGCCGGCGAGGAAGTGGGAGGGCATGAAGCACTGAGCACCATGGCTGCTCTTTCCTACGTGGTACTCCCACTCCCGTGGTCTTACCAGGTACGCTGATTCATGAGAGGTGAGGCATGCCCCTACAACAATGCTTGGGATATAGCAGGAAGTAGTGATAGCTACAGCAAAGTTCAATCCTCCTTGTAAACTCTTTAACTGGTTTTCAACCCTTGAGCGATAAACTCAGTGTCCTCCAGTCTAAAACTGAGAACAGATTGATAGCCTGCATTTCACACCCAGTGAGCTGGGAGTATGGGCAGTGGAAGTCATTCTTAACCAAGCATCTTCTCAACTTTTTTTTTTTTTTTAACATTTTATTAGGGGCTCATACAACTGTCATCCCAATCCATACACACATCAATTGTGTAAAGCGCATTTGTACATTGTTTCTCAAAACATTTTCTCTCCACTTAAACCCCCGACATTAGGTCCTCATTTTCCCCCTCCCTCCCCGCTCCCCTCTCCCTCATGAGCCCTTGATAGTTTATAAATGGGTATTTTGTCATATCTTGCCCTGTCCGACATCTCCCTTCACCCACTTTTCGGTTGTCTGTCCCCCAGGGAGGAGGTCACACACAGTTCCATGTAATCGGTTCCCTCTTTCCTACCCATTCTCCTTTTACCCTCCCTGTTTTGCCACTCACACCACTGGTCCTATAGGGCTCATCCATCCTGGATTCCCTGTATTTTCAGTTCCTATCTGTACCAGTGTACCTCCTCTGGTCTAGCCAGACTTGCAAGATTGAATTCGAGTCATGGTAGTGGGAGCGGGGAGGAAACATTTAGGAACTAGAGGAAAGTTGTATTTCTCATCATTGTTACGTCGCACCCTGACTGGCTCATCTCCTCCCCGAGACCCCTCTGCAAGGGAATCTCCAGTGCATCTTCTCAACTTTGAAACAAGCACTGACTGTAAGTATGAGTTGTAGAGGTATTCGGGATGCTCAGTGTTGCAAACCTAAAGCTAGATTTCATCCAAGGCGCTCACTACCCCAAGCTAGGTTCCCTAAATGAGCATTAAGCTCCATGACCAGCAGCATGCTACCAAGTGCCTCAGGCCATACCCTCAGGGTGACTAACTCCGTTTTCACAGGGGCTTAAGAGAGCTGTCTCCAAAGGGGAGGCTGTCTTTAAGATACCAAACAGTGAAGCCATTTTCTGAGGGCCTCTGAGGACACAGAATAAAGCCCCACGCAAGTGGTCTCGTCACTAAAAGCTACTAACTGCTACCCCCTCAGAACCACAATGCCTACAGATCTAGTCCTTGAACCACAACCACAACCCCACCAGAGTACCAGTCATAACGTCCTCTTGCACTAAAAGCACTAAATTTAATGGAACCCCCCGCCCCCCCAACCAAAACTCGTTCCCCTTCAGCTTATACAGGACCTTCTCACTTCTTAAGGCTCCGTGGTGGTGTGGTTATGCATTCAGCTGTGATCTGCATGCTCGGCAGTACAAAACCACCAGCAACTCTGAGGTAGCAAGACTGGACTTTCTACTCTGGTAGACAGTTACAATTTCAACATCCACTCAAAGGCAGTGAGTGAGTGAGTCTCATTTCCTAAACCAGGTGGGCGAGGAGATAAGAGCTGTCCAGCCTGGAGGAAGGACCCCTGGCAGCAATACTGTTAGGTGCTGCTGTTAAGGTCAGCAGTTAGAAACCACAGTTGCTCCCAGGTATACAGGCTTTCTACTCCGGTGGTTGACATTTTGGAAACCCAAGGGGGGCAGTTCTACCCTGTACTTTGGCGACGCCACGGTCAGTATCCACTTGATGGCGGTGCATTTTGGTTTGAAATCAGGAAATAAAGGTGCCCTGATGGCATAGTGGGTTGCATATGTGGCTGCTAACCACAAGGTCAGCAATTCGAGACCACCTGTCGTCCTGTGGAATAAAGAGGTTTTCTACTCGGAAATCCACGGGCAGATAGGTCCACCCTGTCCTACTGGGTCGCCATGAATCGTCGATGGTAGCGGGTTTGAGCCCAGAGCCGGTTTCGGAAGGAGCCAGTTGGGAAAGACTCCTAAGGGAGCACCAGAGTCAATCAGTTTCGGGTCCCCAGCGGACTCGGAAGCTTGTCACTTCACTTTCAGGCGCACGCGTAGTTCGTGCGCTGAGATCAGGAGGATCAGGCGGTCATTGGGATGCCAAGTCCTACGGGAGGAGGGGGAGGGTGCTCCAAGCTGGGACCTCAAGCCCTCGTTCCTGAGCAGGTCAAGTCCCAGTCGGACACTTCACTCTCCTAGGCCTGAGCCATGCCGCTGGGGTGGGCTTGAAGGACGCCCCCCAGGTCGCACCTCGTCCCCAGGCTAGAAGGAGAAACTCAAAGGCCAGGGCACACAGGCCGCGCCCGCTCACCACCCCTGGGAGGTAGGCCCCAGCTCAGGGCTGATAGCCGGCGCCGGAAGGCCGTGTCCCCGCCGGGACCAATGCCAAACTCTATGGTCGGCGGCGGCGCGCAAACCCCACGTGACCCGCGAGCGCCAATCGAGGCGAGGCGTCCGTACCATAGAGACGACGGCCGACCAGCCTAGACCAGCCCCGCACGGCTGCTCTTCTTCCCCTTCCCGGCTCAGCTCCGGCTCTCGCAGCTCGGTGCTGCCGCCATCTTTCTGGAGGAGAGCATCAAGGCGAGGGCTCCCCCTCCCCGGGATGGTTCCACACTCTTACCGCCACTTACCCTCCTCCCGTACGCCTCTCGTCTTTTCAATGGTCACTTAGCTCCTTCTAAACAAATGTCTTCCCCCCATCCTCGCTACCACAAGACAGAGAATCACATTACCTGTTCCACTCTTATTAGCGTAAGAGAATCAAGCTCATAGGGCAGAAACTGTGGCGAAACAGGGACAAGCCGCCATCTTGGTAAAGGAGAAGAGGCTACGCTTGACCTCCCCCCCACCCCCAGCCTCTATATGGCCAACCGCCGTGGGAGGGGCACTGCGCCTGCGCACAGGCGGCCGACACGGTCGGGCCCGCGCCTGCGCACTGGGATGCCGGCGAAATCGCGGAGGACACGGGAGGAAAGCGCTGGCGGGGGCGGGCGACGCGGCGACGCAGGACGGGGTGGGGCGGGGCACGAGCGGCGGCGGCGGCGCGCTCCGGGTTCTGGGCGGGTTCGGGTTCCTGCAGGCCGCGACTGGTGTTCTGCTCATCCGCTGGTGAGTTTCTGTTCGGAGTTTCCCCCCTTGGGGGGGACGAGCGGCCCTCCCAGGGAGCTTCGGGAACGGCTCCAGTCGCCCCGGCCCCTGGGCGGCGGTCAGCCGCGCTCTGAAGCGCGGGTGGGGGAGGGGCGACCGGGGACTGCCACCGAGTCCGGCTTCCCCACCCATCCCCCGTCGCTCCCCACTGGGAGTCCAGGCCACCAGCCTCTACCCACCCCCCGCCGTCCGGACCCGGTGTCCCGCCGCCTCCCGCGCCCTTGTCCTCCTGCCCATGAACCCCATTTCCGGAGGCGCGCAGGGGTCGGGCCTCCAAGCCCCGGGCAGGGCGACCAGGCTGACCCCTGGCCCGCAGGAGACACACTCGGCCCCGCCGCACAGTAGGGCGGCCCTCGAGGGGCCGCGGAACCCCGAGCAGCCTGCAGCCTGTGGCCATCTTGTGGTCACTCCAACGGGGCCATTTTCTCGGAGTCAGGGCCTCGCCAACGGGCCCTGGCGGAGAGGGGCCCTTGGGACTCCCGGGCTGAACGTGCAGTCTTTTTGAGCCCGTCCTTACCGAGGGACGTGGCCGGAGGGCGCCTTGGACTGGCCGAGCAGGCAAAGCCCTCGTGGACCGGGTGGCGAGGTGACCGCGGAGTGGTTAGGAGCTCCGCCCGGCCACTACCCTCCGGGGTTGAGTTTGGTGGGTTCTCACAGACAAGTGAGCGGCAACACCGGCTTCCCAGGTCGCCAGGCTGTGGCCTTTCCCGCCCTCACCTGGAGCCTCCAGGTCCCTGCATCAACCTTTACTGCCCTGGTTATGCTGTTCCTGGGCCCCTCGAGGGGACCGCCAGCACTGCGAGCTGTGTCAGATGTTGTGCAGCATCCACCCTGTTCTGTTCCAGTATCCTCAGACCGAGTTTCCAACCACCGAGAGCTCGGAGTCTTCTGGGTCAGCACATGCTGTACAGGGGCCTGCAGGGCCCAGCTGTGCAGGGGCATTCTGAGTATTAGGGGTGAGGAGTGTAAATAGAAGACTTATCTCATATCAATTGGGGTGAATCCGCTGTTCTGTGGATGAAGGCAGCATAAGGAACACCCGCTAACATCTGACCTGAGCTCCCTGGAAGGAGATTTTTTTTCTTGGCCACTTTGAGATTGGGAGACCCTGGTAGGCATCCACCATTTACACTAACTAGGAGGCTGCTGGTCGGTGTTGCCCATGATGCCGGAGCAGGGCGCTCACCAAGGCCCAGGTGTGCTTCCAACTTTCACTTTGGTTGGTCACTACCATCCACTGGTAGCAGAGCATGCGGCGGTGGTGTTAGATGCGTACAACAGTAGCAAACACTGCCTGCTTCTGCGCCTTCCTCAAAATCATTGCTATGTGAGCCCATTGTGTCCACTGAAATACAGTTATGTTCACCCTGGAGTGGTGCAGCCATTTACCTGCTCCTAGTCTGGGGAAGAAATGGAAGTTTTCTTAGAAGGTGACCACCAGTGAGGAGGCAGAGCTGTCTCAGTCTGTCTTTGTCGGTCCTGTTGGAAATGTACACTTGGGGGTTCGTGATGCATGTTTTACATTAACTGGGGTTTCAGAGTAACCATGAGAAACAACTATTGGTCCTCAGCCAGCAAACACAACGATAAGGTTCTTGAAGTCTCAGGATGTCTCTGTTGACTAACTAGATAGCAGGACCCTGCTTTCAATCACTGGCAGAAACAGAAGGGGAGACTGGGGTTATTTGGCCCTTCTATGTGACTTCAATGTAGTGAGTGACAAAAATCCCATAGAGACTACTTTCTACCTGCATTTTTGAGGGGTTTTTTTCTAACTACGTTGTGTTTAAGTAAAATAATGAGTTAAAATTGTTGCAGCCACTGTGGCAATCCATCCCCTTGACGGACCCTCTAAGAAGCCTGGTGTTCTCCAGGGACTGGTCCCTCCTGATAATATGACCTTGCTCCTGAGGAACTTTCTGGCTACACTTCTTTCCAGACAGATCTGCTTGTTAATCCAGCAGTACTTTCAATCTTTCAATCATCATTCAAAGGCATCAATTCTTCCTTCGTCTTTTTTTTACATCATTTTATTAGGGGCT